TCCTCCTCCTCCTCCTCCTCCTCCTCCTCCTCCTCCTCCTCCTCCTCCTCCTCCTCCTCCTCGAGGCGTCGGGGGCAGCACCGAGGCATCGAGGACGCAGCATCGAGGCACCGAGGCATCGGGGCAGGGTCGCGGCACCGAGGGGGGAGAGGAGGCGTCGAGGCATCGAGGGGCCGTCGGAGGGGATCGAGGGGGCGCCGGAGGCGCCGAGGTACCGGCGGGGGCGGGGAGGGATCGAGAGGTCGAGGGCGGGGTCGGGGCGGCCGAGGGGCCGAGAGGTCCCGGCGCCGCAACTGTTTGGGGGGCCACGGGCATTCTTGTCCGGCCCCGGGCCTGGGGAGCATCAGGGGTCGATGCGGCTCGGAAGGTGCTGCGGGAGGGTGGAGTCAGGGCTCCGGGCGAGTTTTTTGAGATGCTGTCACTGTTCCCCGCAGACTAAGATGGTTTTCTTGTTGTTGCTCATACGCTTCCGATTCACACCTCACACCTCCCTTTCCCCCCCCTCCTCCTCTTCCTCACTCAGACTCACTCATACTTTGAGACTCTCATGCTCCGACTCATTCGCACCCACACTCAGTCATGTTCAGACTCACTCATGGTACCGCTGACCTCCTTCACGCACCTGACTCCATCTTCTTCTTCTTCTTCGTCTTCTTCTTCTTCTAATCACACTCAGATCACATCTGCCCAGACTTATCCACACTCAGATCACACATACTCAGACGCACTCACACTCAGATTCACTCGTACTCAGGCTCAACACGCAGGCTCGCTCATACTCAGCTACACTCAGACTCAGATACACTCACACTCGGACTCATTCCGCACACTCAGACTCGTACACACTCAGGGCCACCCACATTCAGACTCACTCACACAGACCACTCACACTCAGGCTCGCCTCGCACTCAACCTGTGAGGATGCCTCGAACGCTAGCTTCAGGACACCAAGGGAGGGAGCTGCCAGGAGGTATTTCACGGGTCTGGTCGCGCCCAGATTGTCGGGATATCTCAGGCGATCTGCCTCCTTGGTGGCTTGGACTTCGCTGCTTTCAGAGCGGAGTTCGAGGATGTCTCTAGCGAGGCGCTGGTTTCACCACGTGCCCGTTCGCGCCTCAAGCGGTTTGCCTGTTTGGTGGCTTGGGCTTCGGTGTTTTCAGAACAGATTGCGATGATGTTCGGGGAGAACGAAAGGAGGAGGTAGCAAAGGGTAGGGTAGAGAATCAACTCACGTAGCTGATTTTCCCAGCGCCTCCCGGCGCCGGGAGGCGCCCCATGTATCGAGGAATGGGCCCAGCGGCGGGGCCGAAACCAGCTGCATGCAGCAGATTTCGTAACCCCCCCTTTCCCTATCCCCCCCTTTCGTTCGGTCCGAGATGTCTCAAGCGGGGAGGTCGCCAGGGGGCAGCTCACAGCAGCCGGAGAACATCGCGAGTCTGGAAAACACCTGCGCAGCACCGACGAGAAAACGCCGGGAAACCTCCAGGCTCGAGCCTGTCGTGGACCCCCCCCCCCCATGAGCCGGCCCCCCCTCTCGCGATCCCAGGCCGACGCCTCTCCCACCCTGAGCCGGTGCCCCCCGCGTCGTTCCCCCTCGCCCCTGCCCCCCTCGGCGGTGGACAAACCTCCCTTTAGCAAACCTCCCCTTAGTGGAAACGGCCTGGGACCGAAACCGACGGACCTGGACCCGCAAAAATGACGGCCGCGACGCCCTCTCGCGAACCGAAAACGGCCAATTCCTCAATCGACTTGTCAGGGCAGGAGGTCTATCCATCTCCGACCCCCCACCTCCCGGCCGCCCCTCCGGCGTGCGCGTCGGCGTCCCACGCGCCCTCCTTGATGGGCCCCAGGTGCTCCGCCACCGCGGCCTCGAAGGCGGCGTGCTCGGCCTTCCTGGCCGCCTCCCGTGGCGGGGGGGCAGGGCGGGGGGGAGGCAGCCGGCCTCCGACACACTGTTCTGTTTTTGCAGTCCTGGCGTGTGCCTCAGATTTCGGCCGCTGAGGGCCGCTTCCGGGCCCCGGTCAGCAGAAACGGATCGGGCCGAAGACTGTCCCTGCCCCCGAAAAAACTGCCCCGCGATCTCCTTCCCACATGTCTGTGCAAATATATAAGCACACACAAACATGTGTGTACAGATGGATACATACATACATTCACGTATCTTTACACACACCTATACATGTACCTCCGCACCTACCTACATATACGTATAACTATATACACATGCATAAGCAAACACATGTGCGTGAACGTTATCACACACATGAAAAAAAACGTACCTCTCTCTGTATGTATGTATGTATGTATGTCTGTCTGTCTGTCTGTCTGTCTGTCTGTCTGTCTGTCTGTCTGTCTGTCTGTCTGTCTGTCTGTCTGTATGTATGTATGTATGTATGTATGTATGTATGTATGTATGTATGTATGTATGTATGTATGTATGTATGTATGTATGTATGTATGTATGTATGTATGTATGTATGTATGTATGTATGTATGTATGTATGTAATGTATGTATGTATATGTATATGCATGTATGCATGTATGCATGTATGCATGTATGCATGTATGCATGTATGCATGTATGCATGTATGCATGTATGCATGTATGCATGTATGCATGTATGCATGTATGCATGTATGCATGCATGCATGCATGCATGCATGTATGCATGTATGCATGTATGCATGTATGCATGTATGCATGTCTGTATGTATGCATGTATGCAGGTATGTACATGTATGTTTGTTTTTATGTATGTATGTACAGCACGCTCAGACATCTCCCGACGTCGGAGGCGGGGGAGGGGCGGCCGGCTTCGCGCCCGGCGCGGCCCCGGGCAGACGCGCCGCCCCGCTCCCGGCCCGCTCTGCCCGACGTCGTAGGCGCGGGCCGGGCGACGACGGCGACGAGGGCGACGAGGGCGACGAGGACGACGACGACGACGACGACGACGACGACAAGGGCAAGGGCGAGGACGGGGGCGAGGAGGAGGAGGAGGAGGAGGAGGAGGAGGGCGACGAGGGCGAGGACGAAGACGAGGACGAGGGCGACGAGGGGGCTCTCCCCCCGCCCGCTGGCAGAGAGGCAGCCCCGTGGAGGCCTCGCGCGGCCTCTCGCTGTCCACGTGTGAGCCAATCCGCGTGCGGTCTGCGCCGGATCATGGCCGCGCGAGCGCGTCGCCCCATACCGAAGGGGCCCAGGGACGTACCGTCGGGGCGTTGACCCAAGGAACCCTAAAGAAGGAACGAGGCCCCATTTTCCCTCAAGTGAACCTTCGACTTCCGGTCGAAAGCATAAGGAGAAAGCCTGAGGCAAGCTGCGAAACACTGAAGGAACGCGGAGCCCCTCCCCAACGAAAAGGGTTCCTTCTTCAGGGCCCCGACTGTACAAAGAATGGAGTTTCGTCCCCCCCCCCCCCCTCTGTCCATGCTTTCTGGGGAGTCGACGATGAGTTGTGCCCGTGCTCTCTCCCTCCCGAGCGCCATTGCCTCGAGGGGCGGGCGTGTGGATGAAACAAAAGTGCAACTGTTGCGTGCCGCGCGAGGGCACCAGGATTTTTATCATAGCCACGAGTAGTCGAGAAGGCAACCCCACCTGATGGCTTTCGGACGACAGCTCGGGCCTCAGGGCGGCCCCTCGGGACAGTCCGGCAACCCCCCGGACGCCCTCGGCGAGGCCCCCGCTGCTGAAAAGCACCCCGCCAGGAGAAACAGCTGCAGACTTAATTGAGCAGGGACCGACCGTGCTGGCATCCCTATCGGCCTATCACGACATGTTCCTAGAACCCTAAACATGCTCCAATAACAAAACGGTGTTCTTAGAGCATAAACCCAACGTATTAAAACGCGACAGTCAGACAGAACTGATCTAAGAACACTTCGGGCAGACCACACAAGGTTCTTAGAACATTCTTTGGTGGGCCTGTAGGCGAGCCATCGGCGTCAACCCAAGATAGTTATACAGTACCTATACGACCACCCTTCGGGTGATAAGGAGGTTCGGGAGGGGGGAGGAACCAACGTCTCACTCGATCGGTCTCACTATCGATCTCACTATCGATCTCAGTATCGGTCAAGCTCGATCGATCTCCCTCGATCGATCTCACAATCGATCTCACTCGATCTATCTCACAATTGATCTGACTATCGATCTCACATTCGATCTCACAATCGATATCACATTCGGTCTCACTATCGATCTCACTATCGACATCACAACCGCTCTCACAATCAACGTCATCATCATCATCAACAACAACATCAACATCAACATCACCATCACCAACATCATCATAATCGGGACACCGTCCTCATCATCAACACCAACATCATCATCATCACGGTCATCAACATCATCGGGACACCACCATCATCATCATCATCACCATCATCATCATCACCATCATCACAATCATCATCATCAGCATCATCATCAGCAACATCGGGACACAGTCATCGTCATCATCATCATCATCAGCAGCAGCATCATGATCGGGACACCATCATGATCACCATCGTTATCATCATCATCATCATCATCATCATCATCATCATCATCATCATCATCATCATCATCATCATCGGGGCACCATCATCATCTCATCCTAATCATCGACATCATCATCATCATCAGCATCATCAACATCATCATCAGCATCATCATCATCGTCATCATCTGGGCACCATCATCATCATTACCAACATCAGCATCAACACCATCATCATCATCATCACAATCTTCATCATCACCATCGGGACGCCATCATCATCAACATCATCATCATCATCACCATCATAATAATCATCATCATCGGGACGCCATACTCATCATCAACCTCATCATCAACATCATCATCATCATCAGCATCATCAACATCAACATCATCATACTCATCATCATCAGGACACCATCATCGTCATCATCATGATCATCAACATAATCATCATGATCATCATTATCCTCATCATCGGGACACCATCAGCATGATCATCATCATCGCCATCATCATCATCAGCAGCAGCATCATCATCAGCATCATCATCATCATCGGGACACCATCATCCTCATACCATCATCATCATCGTCATCATCATCATCAGCAGCATCACCATCAGCATCAGCATCACCATCACCATCACCATCACCATCACCATCACCATCACCATCACCATCACCATCACCATCACCATCACCATCATCATCATCATCATCATCATCATCATCATCATCATCACGGGACACCGCGGGACACCGGCGGGACACCGCGGGGCACCGCGGGACACCCGGGGGCGCCCCCCCGGGGGCGCCGCGCGCTCCGAGACATCTTATCGCATGTGCGTCGTGGCGGGGCGCTTTCGCTTTCTGGCCACAACGCTCGGGAACCGATGTACGACAAGATGGGTATCCTGGTATCCTATATGTTCGGGTCCGGAGGCTTCGCGCGGCCTTCTCAGAAGGCGCGAGGGCCTTCCGAGAAGGCCCGCCGCCTTCTGAGAAGGCCTTCACTTCCTAGACCTCCTAGATGGGGTCCGAGTAGTTGAGGTCGGAGGACTGCATCGGCGATGCGTCGGCGACGTCCGCGATGCATCGGCGACGTCGGCGTGGGGGAGCTCGGGCTCAACATCGAGCCGCACCACCGATGCACCGGCGATGCTGCGCGATCCTCCAACCCCATCAACTCGGACCCCATCTAGGAGGCCTAGACTTCCCCCCCGCGCTCGCCGCCGAGAGAGGGGAAGGGGACTCTTTCCACGTGCGGGCACGCCACCGGCGGCGAAGCGAGGCCATGCTGCTGGGGCCGCCGACTGGCCGCCGGGCTCAGCGGTACTTGCTGCCGTATTCGTTCTTGCCCTTCTTCGAGTCGGTGCCCAGCTCGAAGTGCTTCGTGCGCTTGCTGAAGACCCAAAGCAGCAACATAAACATATGCTTTCGGAGACCCGCAAGGATCTCATGGGGCCGGCGCTAGCCCCCCCCTCCCCGAATCCCTGGCCGGCGCCTCCAGCGCCACCCTGGCGCTCGCTACGCACGCTGGGGGAGGGGAACGGGGGGGGGACCAACAGCGACCCGAGACACCCGCGCGGAGCCGCGACATTTACCTTTATGTCGTTCTTGGGCCTTCTAGCTTGATCGGTTTCATGCGCTTGGCCTTGCACTTCGTGCACTCGAACTTCAGCACGATCTTCTTGGTCGTCTTCGCCTTCTTGTGGAACACGGGTTTCGTCTGCCCTCCAAAGCCGGCCTGCTTCTTGTCGTAGCGGCGCTTGCCCTGAGCGCTGAGCGACGCCTTGCCGGTCTTGTACTGGGAGACCTTGTGCGTTGTGTGTTTCTTGCACTTGCGGCAGTAAGTGTTCCTGGTCTTCGGGATGTTCACCATCTGCAGCTCTGCCAGGGCACCGACGCGTGCCCACCTCCGAGCCAAAATGGCTACGGAGGAGGGAGAGGAGGAGGAGGAGGCGGAGGAGGCGGAGGAGGCGGAGGTGGAGGAGGTGGAGGAGGAGGAGGAGGAGGAGGCGGAGGTGGAGGAGGTTGGAGGAGGAGGAGGAGGAGGAGGAGGAGGAGGCGGAGGTGGCGGAGGTTGGAGGGGGGAGGAGGAGGCAAAGGGGGAGCGAATCCCGATGGCGTTCTCTGTGGCTCTGATGCACATCCGGCATCATTCCCCTCCCCTTTCTCCGTGGTAACCCGTATTACCATCAGCTGTGCAGCCAACAATTTCAGTTCGGGTATGTGCGTGTGCTGCAGCTTCATGTCTGGCTGTCTGGCGGCATTTGGCAGT